CCACAGGTAAGTACCACTGGCCTCCGCCAGTACCTCTCCCAACTCTACGCTCTACCTCCTACTAGCGCCCAGCACTGATGACTACAGCTATGGCTATGGCGCCCAGCGCCGATGACTACAGCTAGCGCTACTACTACTGCCTAGCGCTGAAGACTACTGCAGCGCTCCTCCTGAGTGCTGCGGCCGAAATCTGAAGACTACCGTCCTACTCTCCAACTGCCTACCCGTTCAGTGCCTGAAGCTCCTATGTACTATCACGGGTGCCTCCTGACTCGGGCGAGCAGTCCAGGAGGCTGCTCTTGCCAATAATGCCTAAGGGAGGCAGGGGCTGCACCTGCAGCCCCTGCTCGTGCTCTTGCCAATAATGCCGAAGGGAGGCAGGGGCTGCAGCTGCAGCTCCTGCTCGAGCTGGCGTGGGAACAGGCTAGAAATAGCCTGTTCCGAAACCCAGTTTTTGTGCCTGAATCTTAGGACAGGTCGAAACAAATGAGGGCCTAAAAATAGCCCAGGGCCTAAGAATAGCCCTCCGTTTCAGGCTGGAAAAACTCTGGGTCTGAAAGACCTTGAAATAGGCTGAAACGGAGTAGGGCCTGCAGGCCCTCGTTTTTCAGTTTTCAGGCTGAAACGACCGGGGCCTGTAGCTCCTAAGTTTTAGTCTTTTAGGCTGAATGTCCGGGACGGGTCCTACAGGGCCCGTGTGGCTACGCAGTCTGCCACACCCCCCCCTCCTTGAAAGACTTAGCTTACCTGCGAGGGTGAAGCTGTCTGTCTGAGGGAGGGACCACAGTCCGGGTGGGAGGGGCAGGTCGTGGAGGTCCCTTGGCTAACCTTTGACGTTCATAGTGAGCGTAGATCAGCGGTGCGGATGCTTTCAAATCTGCTCCTGAAATCCACCGAGTGTCGTCGCGATCACATGCTTTGAATGTGACTTTGTACTGTCGCGGCTTGCTGCCGTATTTGCGATCGGTGATGACGCGGTCAACTTCCTGATGGCCATCCATAGAAGGAGGGTCCTGCGATCGTCAGTCGGGAAAGTCGTCGCTCTTGGCTGGCGTGTATGTTGCCAGCTTCGAGGCGTGGAAGACCGGATGGACCGTCAGATGCTCTGGAATGTTGATCACAAATGAAGGGTCATCAGGCTCGTCGCCCGCGGCTGCTGTCACAGACCAAGGTCCAAACCACTTGGGAAGCAGTTTGCGTGAAACGTCTTGTTCCTGTGCAAACTCTTCCGAGGAGACCCAAACCAGATCACCAGCGCGGATGGGACATGGTACGCGACGCCTGTTGGCTTGCTGCTGCATGCCAACTTGAGCCTTTTGCATATTTGCGCGGGCTTGAGTCAGCAAGTCCCTGTACTTCCGAATGGAAGTGGGGGAGCAAGCGGCGTCAATGTCGGCTGGTCGAGGGAGGAGAAGGTCGGCGAAGATGCGGCCTTTCCGTCCACTGTGGTGCAACTTGAATGGAGTCACGCCGATCACCAGGTGCACCGAAGTGTTGTAGGCGAACTCGATGTCGGGGAGGCGGTCAACCCAATCTTTCTGGTCCGGACGAATGAGCGTACGAAGCATCATTTGAGCGGTTTGATGTGCCCGCTCCGTCTGCCCGTCTRTCTGAGGATGTCGAGCCGAACTTGGTTTCATTGTTGTGCCAGACTCCTGCATGAGAGCAGTCCAAAACGCCGACATGAAACGATTGTCGCGGTCGCTGACAATGTCTTCTGGTACACCGTGGCCACAAATCCAACCAGTGTGCAGGAGGCGTGCCAACTCGGGAGCCATGGAGTAGTACTTGCAAGGGAGAAAACACGCATACTTACTCAATCAGTCCACAACCGTGAGGATGTCGTCGTGCCCGAGCCGGTCGCGAGGAAACGGACCGGTGACATCCATGGCAATGGAGAGACCGGGTTCCCGTGGGATAAGTGTAACTCGCTGTAGGGATTGCGGTTGCGGGGCTTGCTGCGTCGGCAAACTTCGCAAGAGTTGCAATACCGAGTGACATCGGTAGTGAGGTCGGGCCATCGGAATCACTGTCGAAGCCGTGCAATAGTGCGGTTGACTCCGAAATGGCCGGCGAGTTGTGAATCATGATACTCGCCAAGGAGGCGAGTCCGGAGACGACGGTCGCGTGGGACACATAGTAAGTCCTTGCCTCTCGAGTGGAGGAGCAAGTACCCGTCGGCAATGCGGTAATGGCTGGCAGGCGGGTGATCCGAAGATAGTTGTGCATAGAGCGTGCCGAAGTCCGGATGAGACTGATATGCCCGGATGAAGTGTCGCTGAAGCTCCTCGTCGAATGCGAAGGCATGATGTGTAATAGCGCAAAGATCGGGTCTTCGCGAGAGTGCATCTGCTGCGCGATTTGAGAGGTCGGGCAGATGTTTCGGTGTGAAGTCAAATTGGTCGATGAAGTACATCCATCGTCCGATCGTGCTGCTCACCGTATCCTGCGTCTTGTAGTAAGTCAATGGATTCCTTGCATCATCAAGCGAGTTGATGGGAGGCACTTTGTGGCTGAAATACTCCACAGGGTGTCAGTCATCGCCGTCGTGCTGTTCCAAGACTGCCCCAATGCCATAGCCGGAAGCGTCCGTAGTCACTCGCGTCGGCAGGGTGGGGTCATAGATGCTAAGGACGGGTGCCATGAGCATAGCCGTCTTAAGTGTTTGGAATGACCGGCGTGCGGCGTCATCAAATACGAATGGCACCTTTGGCGACTGTAACCTCGACATAGGTGCAGCAATCCTGGAGTATCCGGTGATGAATCGCTGATAGTAGCCCGCCAATCCCATGAATGAACGAACGTTCGTGGTGTTGGTGGGCTCGGGCCATACTCGTAGGGCCTCGATCTTGTCCGCAAGCGGACGGATGCCTTGCGGTGTCACATAGTGTCCCAAGTATTCCAGCTCCTGCTGTGCGAACTCGCACTTGTCGCGGTTTGCTTTGTACTTGGCTTGTCGTAGCCGCTCCAAAACGGTGTGCAGGTGTTCCACATGCTCGTCCAAACTCCGACGATACACCAAGATGTCATCGAGATAGATGAGTACAAACCGATCCAGCATGTGTCGGAACTCCGTTGTCATAGTCGCTTGGAAAGTGGTTGGGGCATTCGTAAGGCCAAACGGCATGACCAGCCATTCGAAATGCCCATACCGTGTCTTAAACGCGGTCTTGTAGCGATCCTCCTTGCAAATCTCGAGTTGGTGGTACCCTGACTTGAGATCCAGCTTAGAGAAGAACTGGGCGCCGCCCAATCGCTTGAGAAGGTCGTCGATGCGTGGGAGAGGGCCGACATTCCTGATCGTCTGCGCGTTGAGCTTGCGATAATCGATGCACAACCGCAGGTCCTTGTTCTTCTTCCGGACGAAGAGGACAGGAGCACCGTATGGCGATGAGCTAGGCCGAATCCTGCCTTTCTCTAGAAGATCGTTGAGTTGTGCACGGAGCACACTTAACTCTTCCTCGCTCATTCGGTAGATGCAGTCGCGCGGAGGTACGGCGCCGTCCTCGAGGATGATCTCGTGGCGGATGGGCCGATCCGGTACTACTCCGAGCGGGCCTTCGAACACGTTGCTATAGGCGTCGAGAAGTTCGGTGATGCGTGGATCCGAAGATGAGTCCGTCGATGAAGCGTCTCGGGGCGGGAGGGCGTGGAGAAAACACACCCCCATCTCCTCGATGTCGTCTCTGATGATGGATGCTCGCATGCTTGCGGCGGATACCACGTGGCAGCTCATCGAAGGATGAGGAAGAGTTATCGTGCATGGAACTAATACTCCGTTCTGATCACAAATGTGAACGGTGCGGTGGAAGAAGTTCACCGGGTGATCCTCACTTCGCAGCCATGACATGCCCAAGATCATGTCAAATTTGGTGTCCAGAATATCAAAGGACACCGCCTCACTTGCGTGAGTCACTTGCGTGAGGGGCAAAGTACACGGGGACGGCGTCAATGCACCGGTCGATGGACTTGTGCGTATGACCGTCTGCCAAAGTGACTTGCGTAGGCTGGGACTTCCTCCGGACACGTGGGCCAAGGCCGGCGCACACCATGAAGTCCTGACTGATGTAGTTGCGAGATGCTCCACAATCGATCATGGCGTTGCAGGTCGCCTCTCCGATCTGAATGCGTTTATATAGCAATGGTGCGTCGATGTCGTCGTACCGTTGTGTCTTGAACTCGCGGTCGATCTTCGCAATGTAAGTGTGAAGGTCGACAACCTCTACTCCGGCGTCCATCAACGGAGCTGGTACTGCAGTGTGCAAGTAATCTCGCAGTTGTGCCATGAGCACATTGCAATCCGGTTTCGGCAATTGTCCAGTCTGGGGAACGGGCATCCACTGGAAGTCCGTGAACGTCAGTGGGTCGAGCACCTCAAGTCTTGACCACAACGATGAATCCCCGACGATAGATAGCGGCGAAGCTGCCGAATCGGTTGCCGATGGTGATGAAACCGTGCATGCGGTAGATTGTTGCACGTGGAGCGGTTGGTCCAGCGGTGGGACCAAGTGGACAGCATAATCCTCGTAATTGTACCGAGGACTTGCGACATGCGCATCCTCCCTAGATGTGTAGGAGGCCGCTAGCAAGGCGACCGAATCTGGCGGAGTGAGAGGTGGAGTCGCCTCACCTCCTACTCAACTCAGTTTCCCGAGTTAAGACGAGGCCGCACATCCTCCTTGGCCTGATCTTGGCAAATGGAGGTCTTGTGCTTGGTGTTGTTGCACCAGTAACAGCAGCCGTAACGGTTGCGGTACTCGTACTCGGCCTCGGTCAAGCCGAACTTGACCCATGGTGGTGCTGGCTGTCCGTTTCCGGCCTGCGATGCTGGTTTCGCCTTCCCGTTCACTCGGGGCTTGTTGCTTCCCGGCTGGACAGCAGCCACCTGATCTCCCTCACGTGATGCTGGAGTGGCTGCTGGGTCTTCTCCACTGTCCGATTGGACTGCAGTGAACTGCTGCTGTCGCGGACCAGTTCGTACCTTCTCCACATAGGTTGGCTGCCACGTTGACTTTTCGTGTGCGGCCGCCCTGTTGGTCTTGATGATCTCTCTCGCCTTGTTGATGATCTCTGCGAAAGTGTGGTACTGCTCGCGATCACCAAGTGCGAGGCTCAGAGCGGCACATGACTTATTGTCGAACTCACGGCGCAGATGCGGAAATGGCAGGTCCAGATCGGGGCTAGCCACGATCTTCTACCAATCCGTGAGCCAGTCACGTGCCGGTGTGCTCCCTTGAGCCATCGCGAAGATGCGGTTGATGGCGAGCGCAGGCGCGTCATCCACTATGAACCGCTTCTTCCATTCCTTTGTCATATCCTCCCAGGAGACCTTCTTATGCAGGTCTGAAACCTGGACGCCGTGGATGGTTGCCATGTGGCTGAGCCAGATCTGACATCCTCCCTTGGTGTTGATGAACAAAGCACTGATGAACAGATGGTCAGGGACCTCGTGGATCCCCAACTCCGTTGTAAATCCTTGCCACCAGACGACCGGGTCTTGATGTGTGTAGTCATCAAATTTCTCGATCCAGAACGTCGGCATCTTGTATGGCCTTGTCGAGCTGTTGTTGTGGCTGTGGTCGGTCGACTGTTGCTGACTGTCTTAGTGTCCAGCAACTCGAACCGCTGGCTGATGGTGGCCGGCTCTGTGAAGGCACTTATGTCTCCAAGCATTGCCACTACGTGGTCAACGCGTTCCTCCAGTTGGCGGCTAGAGGATGCACTGCTGGAAGCCCCAGCATTCGGTCCTGCACGGGCATCCAGTGCCCGTGTGGCATCCTCGTGCCGAGTCTTATGGTTCCGCACGGCCCGCTGGAGGTTCGCCAGCTCGGACTGTAGGTGGTTACAAGTATAAACCAACCTGGTCACTAGCTTGGCCATGAACTCCTTATGCTGCTCTTCCGGTGTTGCCTCGTCGCCGTTTGGTTCAAAGTGCCAGTACTTGAGTTTGTCGATGCTGTTGGCTTCATGCCGCAGCAGCAGATCCTGGGCTTCCTTGCGGCGCGCCTGGGCATCTGCATCTGCTTCGGCCTGTAGCCGCAGCTTCTCTGCTGTTGCCGCTTCTTCAGCCTGTAGCTGGGCAGCCTTGACTGCCAGCTGGCATTGTTCCTCAGCCTCGATTGCAACGAGCTGAATCTGAAAACGCTTTTTGTAGTCGGCAATGGACTCGTTGGCCAGTTGGCCCGGCATGCCCAGAGCTGCGCCCGTCATGGTGGCGGGGCACTGCTGGCTGACGTGGCACTACTGACGTGGCACTGCTTACGTG